ACAGATCCCTACGACAACTTCCAAGTGAATGCAGAATAAGTTTTATCTTTTTTAAACTTCAGTGTTGGAGAAATAATGCAATTGCTGATAAAGTTTGCAGAATTCTGAATTTTAGGAACTGAATGAGGGGCCTCATTCTCAGTACAGATGACAGGAACAATGGGTTGACTTTACAAAACAAGCACAGCTACATGCACTGAAGTGCAAACAGATGGAACATTTGCTTTTTAACGCTTATCTGTATTTGAAGAATTTGCCAAAGAGGCATTTTTAATTCTCAATTTATATTCAAATGTAACTGGTTTAAAATTAGGCTGGTGATGAGAAGAGTGGGAATACTAAAGATAATTGTCTGTCGCATCAGATAGGTGAAGAAGAAGCTGTTTTAACTCACTCCCTCAGCTGGGAAGGGTACAGATGTCACCCACCTGACTAGTTTGTCGCCTACATGTAGAGACAGATTATTCCATCACAGGCAAAGGGTGAGAACTCACTACAGGTCTTGTGGGATAGAACTAAATTGAATCCAATAACTCTGGCATCAACGGTGGATCAGAATTTTATATTATTTTAATCTCTAGTATCAGCCTAACATAGTAAGGGCTGAGGAATGAACTGCATTTAAAAAAAAAAAAGTCTCACGCTTAGAATTTTGCTATGATTTGGATAAATATCCAAAGAAAAGTTCAGTTCATATCCAACTCCACATGGTGATGGACCTGAAGCAACTGGGCCCATGATCTGCTTTCAGACATCCTATTAGGACATATTGGGTGCATCTACAAGTGTGCTTAACTGCACAGTAATTTGCTGTGGTATAAAGCAGTCCACATATGTGACACTATTAGATCGCAGCAAACTAATTAACATTACCATAAGATAGGGTAGTCAGGGTCAGTACTATCTTATGGCGGCGAAAATAACTGCACCGAAACACACGTGTAAATGCTGACCAGGACATACATTGCACCCAGCCAGGCCAGGCAGCAGAGGGGCAGACTCCTGGCTGCCGCCTATCATAGAATCATAGAAAGTCATAGAAAGTTAGGGTTGGAAGGGATCTCAGGAGGTCTAGCCCAACCCCCCTGCTCAAAGCAGGACCATCCCCAACTAGATCATCCCAACCTAGCCACAGGGCTCCATGCACAGGGAACAGGTTAAATATATGATGGCTATTCAGCAGCCTGTATGAAAAAAAGCTTGCTCCGATTTCTAGCAAGCGTGTATGTCACAGGGTCATGCAGGTACCCTGTTCCTATGAGGGAATGAGGGCAGCTGAAACTCCTTAAGGCAGCCCAGGTGCTAGTTGCCAGGGCAACTAGTCTGGTCACATGACCAGAAGGGGGCAGGGCCTGGCCTTTATAAGCAGCCCAGGCCAAAGCCTAGTTAGCAGTTCACCTCTGGCAGCCTGAAGAGCAGCAGCTCTGCAGCAGAGCAGCCCAATCGCCCGAGTGGCTGCATCATGGCATGGGTGGAGAGAACCCTGACCAGGTCGTTTTGCAGGAAAGCCAGGTTGGGCCCAGACTTTGTGTTATAGCCAGAAGGCTTACTGTTGTGTTACAGCCAATGGGCTTATGGGTCTGTTGAGTTATTGTTAGACCGGAGGACCGGGTGAGGCTGTAGGGGTGGAGGAGGCCTTATTAGGAGCTCCCCAGAGAGGTGGGGTGCTCCCAGTGCCGGAGGGTGGTGCTACATTGCAGGGTGTCTAGATCCTGACCCCAAGAAGGGACGAACAGAATGAGAGGCCCCGGTGAGGGCACCGTAGTTTGGGGGTGCAAGACCCCGGCCCTGAGAAGGGCAAAGAAGATTTCGGGGCCAGGCATGGCTGAGGCCACCTGAGCCCCACTTGCAAGGAGCACTAGTGAGAAACCCACAGGGGCACGTGTTAGGCCCCAAAGGGGGGCCACATGAAGTGAAGCCCAGGGTAGATGCTACCAGAAAGATGAGCCCAGAAAGGGCGAGTCCGTGATTATAGAGAGCCCAGAGAGGGCGGAGAGGAGCCCCAGGAGTGGGTGCATATTTGAGGGAAGCCCCACGAGGGGGCGGGTATAGAGAGAAGCCCTGGTGAGGGCACGTATTGAAAGAAGCCCCAGAGTGGGCGCATATTATTGATAGAAACCCCAGGAGGGGTGCGAACTGACAAGAGTCCCAGAGGGGCTCTACCGTGGTGGGAACCCCGAAGGGTCAAAGGGGCCAGGTAAGGCTCAGGCCGCCTAAGCCCACTAGGGACGAGTACTATTAGTAAGCCCGAGAGGGCTAACGACTAGAGGGGCACTGGTTGCGTGACAAGCCCAGAGGCGCTAGAGAGAGGCGCCAGTTGCGTGACAAGCCCAAGGGCGCCTGGCAGGGCGCAGAAAGGAAAGGGACCAGATAACGTCCAGAAGAGCTGCGAGGCTTGGGGTGTGCTAAAGGGGAGGTAGGAGGCACGCATAGCCCATAAGGCTGGGGTGCACCTGGTCACTCCATACGGAACGGGGACAGTATCAGCACAACACTGTGTACAACGGGATCAAAGGCAGCCTCCCATAGAAACTTTTATATATACCAACAAGACGCGGCGGGTGAGAAAAGAGGGTGCTGGATCACCTACTTGACACTGCAGGGGGCGCTAGAGGGATCACGGCCGCTCCTAGGCCCCACTCCGTGACAGTGCACCTATCACAATTGCTACTGTGGTAAGGTTGACAACTTCAGGTAGTAACCTCAAAAAACCAAACTAAGGATTGAATGGAACACAAAAAATAAACTTCCATCTCAATGTTCAAATGTAAAAGATCCCACCAGTTCATATATGAGGCACACTGGCTGAACTAGGTGGAGCAGCTTCTACTGCTACTGCCATGACTGTTCTGCACTCTGAGGATTTCATTTTCAAGTGCTATTAATTTATTGCTGTCCATGGGGTAATAACTTTAGTTTTAAAATCAAAAAAGTAGAGAGAGAAATAAAAAGCTGTAACCAAGCAATAATTACTCTCATTAAACACAAAGCACTATGTGTTGTCATTATCTTCTTATAGAACAGTTGCTTGTCCAAAAAGTAGGTTCACATAACTGTTTAAATATTTCTTGGAGTGGTTTGAAATAGCTGAGAGTAACCACTTTATGAAGTGGGCCTCATTCACTTCCCTCATGTTTGTACAAGTTAAACTTTACTGCTATGCTCAGATTAATTACTTGTCAAAATCCCTTGATCATATTAAATATGAAAAAACAACAAAAGAAATGCAAAACAAAAACTGTAAATTGCTCCAATCAAGACTGCCATGGAAAAATAAATCAAAGGGATGCTTCAAATGCATTAAAAATGCAAATTGATAGGTTCAATGAGTATATATGCTTATTTATCCTACATGAAACGTTCAAAATAGTAACAAAAAATTAAAGACTGCTCTTGCCTGACAGCTTTTAACTATGGTTGCACAATATAAGTTTGCCTGGTGGGAGAGAGAGAAAGAGGAGCCACTCAAGTTTGGTAAATCAATCAATATTTCAGTACCCAACAGCTGCCAGATTAGTGTTCATTTCAGTCCCCAGTGTATGCGAGAGTGAGAGCAAGGGCTAGCCTGAGACGGCAGGCTTGGATCACAGGGAATTTCCAGAAGCTCCTGTGCAGATCTGGCGTCCCTCCCCATTTTTCTGTGTTGCTGCCAAGTTGCTGCTTTAATGCATCATTAAAAGGGCCTTCAGAAGCTGTGGAAATAGAGGGTGCTGTATTCATAATTCACTATTTTAAATATGAAATAGTGGAAATTAAGCCCATACCAAAAACAGAGAGCAGGCTTGTCTTCAGACTAGACTAACCTGGACGAGGGGTGGAGGAGAAGCACATGAAAAATGAGTCTAGCTTATAGCCAAAAATACTGTGCAGGAATGCTCAGTGTTTAATAAGATAACGAGTGACTTGCATCTCCAAAATCCCTCGCCCTCAAACTTGATTTTTCACACAAAAGCAAGAGGCCGCTGCTACAAAGCCAACATGTAGAACGTCAGGTCCCGAACACCTGAAAACTGGGGCTGACACAAAGCAGAACATCTCCCAGGCAGGTGGCTTGGCAGAAGTCATTTGCAACTAGTCTCCCTAGTTGTGTTAAGTGTAATACAGGTGCTCTCTGCTTCCCTTTCCGTGATTTGACAGTACTAAAGGATGACCTGATCTTACAGACAGTTGACATTTTCCGCTCAGATGCTGAGTCCTTTTATCAAGTACTTGGATTCAACCGGGAGCAAACCATGCTGCGCACCTCACCAGTGCGTTCCTTTAACAAGATGTTCCTCGAGCCCAACGGCAGGTCAGGACTATAACCAAGCAGTTGTTAGCTTTAGCATTCCTGTTTCGCAGACAAACATTCGGGCCCTGTCAAAATTTTCACACATCGCAAGTTCTTTTTTCCCTTTGTTAGTATGGGATGGGGTTCGGGAGGCAAACACAACACAATCACAGACTTTCCCTTTAAAAATAAAAATTCAATGCGGCCTTTTATGCGAGTTTAGGAAGAGGTATGCTAAGGTGCCCTGCATTTTGCACAAGAAGTCTTCCAGACAGCGAGTGCACAGTGTTCACAAAGAACCGGGTGGCTGTGACAGGATGGAGGTGGTCTGTGGCGATGAGCACTCTCCTGTGTCCAAGAAATTGTTCAAAGGAGTCCATTCGGACTCCCCGGCCCTCCGTGGTCAGGGGAAGGGCAATACGAGAGTGGGTGAGAAGAGGCAACATTCAGGGAGTTCCTTTGGGAAAGCCTGGCCTCACACCCAGATTCTGAAGAGGTTGCAATCCCGAGTTAGAAATCTTGGGTTTTTTGCTTCTGTTAGATTATTCTGATTTCTTACAATTCCAAATGGTTGTTCCCTTACAGAAAATGACCATGCTGACTGCAATTGTAGCTGCTTTTCCTGCAAACTCATTCCAAAGGCTGACCCAAACCATTACATTTTAACCTTCTAAGTTTAATTAGGAGGGAAAAAAATTGCATTACACACATTCATCAGCAGGGAGTTTACCTTCCTTTGTGAGGCCTCCCTCTCTCAGGCACCCCTGCAGCTGTCCTTCTGTTCACAGTGGAATAATCTGGATCCAGTTCATACCCTTCGTCATCAACCCCGAGGCTGCGGTTATCATCCTCCAGTCCATAGGGCTCTGGCTGGAAACGTTCTGGCTGAGAGCGATTCAAGTCAACATTGCTGCCTGTTGGCACTTGGGGTTGGGCCACGGGACCGTAGTTATCCCGCCTACTTGGCAAAGTGAAGCTCCCATCCTCTGGTCGGTAACTGTTTCCTGGAACGTAGGCATAGCGAGGACGGTAGTTGACACCACGGGATAGACTGCCATAGTTATCAGGCAGCTCTCCATAACCATCATGGCCAACATAAGGGCGGTATTGCCCATCATGGCCATCAGGGTAAGAATCATTGTAGCTATTATAAGATCTGGTTAACGTGGATGAAGCCTGGGGCGTGATGTACCGCTCCCCATTCTTCATATACCTCCTGTCTATTGAATCTGTGTAGCTACCCATGGGAGATGAGCCATCCATGGTAGGCAGGCCATCAGGCCCCAGTGGAACCTGGCGCACTGTTCTAGTGGTGACAGTCTTGACCATTTTTGTGACCTGGAAAGAAGAAACCAAAATAGATATTAATATTTTCCTCCTGACTGGTGGTGGTGCTTAAGTTCTATGGGGACTTAGAGGGAAACTCCCAATGGTGAGATCTAAACTAGTCTAGAAAAGGCACTAGAAAATATTCCTGAAGAACAGCAATGGAGACTCAAGATACTAAACTGGCTAAGATTTCATAAAAGCACTAATGGTTCCATTTTAACAGAGAAATCAAAGAATAAAACGAAAAAAGTTGTAAAAATTCTATTTATGATTAAGGATCCATCCCTCTCCACTCTTCCCATCACTCGGGGTAATAAGTTATAAGTATACCCAAAAGAACATTGGTGGCTCCCTGTTACTCTCATGGCAACCCATGTAAAATGTTGGGGGCATCAGTAATAATGAAAAACTTAACTGCAGAGGTAAGGCTGTACCTATCTACACAAGCTACCACAGACCACAACTATCACTAACTACCACAAACCGTACCTATCTATATGAGGCTCTGCAAAATTTCAGGCAGCCCTTTGGAAAGCATATTTATGCATGACATTTATTTTTATATGATTTTGTCTTCTTATAAATCTTGCTTTATTACAACCCTAATGGCATTAAATTATGTTCCAGAATCCTTTGCCTGTGCCCTTTTAGCCAGGAGTCTGAAGCAGAGGAGACGGACAAGCATCATCCCAACCTTCAACTTCTAAAGAGAAGAGCAAGAAGGGAGGGTGGTTGCCTGTCCTATTTGTGACTCCTGGCTAAAAGGACAAAGCAAAGGATTCCCATCTCAGAAGGTGCATCACTTCCAAGAAGTGCTTCCTTTGTCATATAAGGACCAAGAGGTGAATGTGCAGCGAACCCCCTAGTTCAGGATATTTCACCAATGGTGGCCAGTAAAAGCTGCTTGAAAAGAGGTACAAGAAACCTTCTACTAGGCAGTTATTAGACCTGTGTGAAGTGGCTAGTATTAATTTCGGATTTGTATCTGGCCGATTTGGGGGACAGTGATTCGATTCACTGATTCGAATCACTGTTCCGATTCGATTCAGCTGAATCTCTGAATCAGCCAGGCCGGGCCCATCTTCCGCCTGCTCTCCCAGTCTGGCAATGACTGTCCTGCCTGCCCCTGGCTCTTTGGGGAAAAAAACCCTCGACTCAGTGGGTGCTGCTGGGCGGGGGGTGATCCTTGCTCCCTCCCACTGTGTGTGGGGCTCTGCATGAGCCCCCCAACCCCTCCCCCGCTGTCCCAGCGCCCCCACGGGTGCCCCACCCGAGCCAGCTCTGGCCCTTTAAGAAAGAAAAAAGGAGGACCGCCCCCTACTCACTGCTCCTGCAAGTGTGGGGGGTGATCTCTGCTGCCCCTCACTGGCCCACACCACGTGGGGGCTCTGCACAAGCCCCTGAAGCCCCAAGGCCGCTGCAGGAGCGGCGAGTCCCAGAGCTTTTCTTGGCTTTTTTTTTCTTAAAGGGCTGGAGTTGGGCCAGGCCGGGAACCCATGGGGGG